CCCCTCACCTCACACCCAAAAGCTCAGTCTGCGTTAGCAGCAGCCTCTGCTGCAGACAGCGGCCGTCAGTTAAATACTCGGTGGGGACCGGTGTGGGGGGGTTGAGGGGCTGGGCTGCCCACACTGACCCTGGCTGGACAGACCTCCTGCAGCCGCTTCTTCATCCACAAGCACACCTGCAGGGGGCACTGGACCCACTTCATCCACTGTACCCACCCGCCTGACACAGTACCCACCCCACCACAAAGCACTCCCTGGGCCTTACAGCATGCGGCCTCTTCCCCTCTCACAGTGAGGAAAAGCGGCTCAGAGGGAAAGGGTGAGATTAAAATGCGGCCACAAGGCTCCAGAACGGGGAGCTTCCCACCGCCTTCTGCTTATGAGTTAGGAGCCAGGAGCCCGGGGGCCTGGGAAATGGGAGGGAGGGAGAGCACAGGGCCTCTGCCGTCACGGGGCTCTTAATCTGGTGGGGGTCCAGCCCAGGGGACCCCCACAGGTCCCTGGGGGACGAAAGGGGGTCTCAGGGTGTGGGTCTGCTCTCATGAGGTACTGAAGCAAACCTCACAGAGCGGCCAGAGTCATTATCCTTATCGTCCTTGTTGTTGATTATTATTATTACCATCATTATTATTGGCAGCAGAGAGGTGGGCTCTGCCTGGGACAGCCCCACAGGGTGCCCCATACACTGCAGGATTGTGTTTTTCAAATACAAAATCGGGGCCCCTCTGACCTGCTTGAGAAGGTTACAGGGATGTGGTCTGCGGCTCTGAAATCGGGCGTCCTGGCCCCCCATGGAGGCTGTGGCCACGCTGTCGGGCCGCCCACGCGCCTGTCTCTGCCCCTTCCAGATCGGTTTCAGGTCGTACCTCTGCAGTTTTCCAAGGACCTGGACGCCTACAACCCCAACGTCCCAGAGTGGAGGGAGGACGTCGGCCTGGAGGTCACCCGGCTCCTCTCTAAGGTGCCCCCGGTCTTTCGGGCCTGAGCCTCGCCCAGCCCCCGGGGGAGCCTCGCTTCCAGAGAAGCTGAGGCACCAGGGCCGCTGGGGTGGACGGGTGGGTGGTGCTGCTGCTGAGTCCGATGTCGGGTGTCAGCCAGGCCTGCGAGTGGGGAGCTAATGAGCCGGGGTGAGGGGCTGCTGTGCCGGGGGATATGCAGCCAAGTGTCACCTCGCAGATCAGGGCAGGAACCACACCCCCAGGACACCCACAGAGCACCAGCCCAGTCCTGTCCTCCAACGGGCTGAGAGGCTCTTTAAAGTCCTTTTCACTATTCGCTGAATTCCCTCCTGGGGAGGACACTGGTGACGGGGAGAAGTGTCAGGGGCAGCTGCTACCCTCAGGGAGAGAGCAGAGAGCAGGCCTCGGGCAGGGCAGCAGGGTGGGCTGTGGGGGCCTAAGGCCCGGGCACCCCGGGAGAGAAGGCCCAGCCCCTGATAGGTCTTCCAAGGCCACCTTCAGGGTGAGGCCACTCTGTGCTTCCCTCAGCCCGTAACTAGGGGTGGTACTGTTGTGCTGGGCGTTGAAGGATGTGTAGGAGTTTGCCAGATGGGAGTGCATGGAGTGGGGCTTCCAGGACTCAGAGGGAAGAGCAGAGCCCTGTGGCTGCAGGGGTTGTAGTTGAGAGGGTGCTGCTGTGGCTGGGCCTGGGGTGTAAGGGAGTGGGAGGGAGGAGGGGGCAGGGGACAGGGGGTGCCAGGGCCACACGAAGAAGGACCCTTGACCTACCCTGACATCTTGGGACATGCTTACTCAGGCCAGGGTGTAAGGGGAGGCGGGGAGGGGCAAAGGCCTACCCGGGCAGGGCTGAGGCAGCAGGGGTGCTGGGTTGCAGGAGGCGGCACAGACGAGCGGGACTCCGGGGCCATCCGCAGGGCGTGAAGGGTCAGGAATGGCTTGCAGGACAGCTGACCAGGACTTGAACAGCCCCAGAGTGGAGGGAGGGTGTTCCTGGGGCCCTGGAGTGTGACAAGGACAAGGAGGGCAGCTGACCAGAGCCATCTCTGTCCCCATGCCCCACAGGAGACCAGCATCCCTGAGGAGCTGCTGGTCACTGTGGTGAAGCCAGGGTTGCCCACCGTGGCCGACCTGTACGTGCTCCTGCCCCCTCGCCGGCCCACCAGGAAGAGGAGCCTCATGACTGACAAGGTATCGCCTCCTGTGGCCCCCTCCCCCATCCTAGGGCTCCCTGGAGACAGACTCAGTGAGACATGTGTAAGCATATACTTCAAGGGGTTAGCTCATGTGATTGCAAGTCCAAAATCTGGGGAAGAATGAGGAATTCTGCCAAAGTGTCTATTCATAGTCTAGAGGCAGAACACACCCTAGGGAAACTCCTCTTTTGCTCTTAAGGTCTTCAACTGATTTGTTGATTAGGTTACATTACATTATGTTAGATTATGGAACGTGATTACATTACATTACACTACATTACTTTATGGGATGTGATTACGTTATGTTACATTACATTACATTACCAAGCCCTGGTGGCACAATGGTTAAGCGCTCAGCTGCTATCCGAAAGGTTGGCAATTGAAACATACCTAGAGCACCACAGAAGAAAGGCCTGGCAATCTGCTTCTATGAAAATCGCAGCCTAGAAAACCCTATGGGGCAGTTCCACTCTGTCACATGTGGTTGCTATGAGTCAGAATCAACTTGATGGCACCTAGCACAGATGAGGAAACTAAAGTGCAGAGAATGACCCTCCCACAACCCCTGGCTCCAGGGGGTCAGAGCTGGAACTCGAGCTGTCCACCAGCATTTCCCATGCCCCTGGGCTCCCCTCCACTGAGGACCCTGCTCAGCCATCCTTTCTGCTTTCAGAGAATCATCGCCATCCAGCAGGTGCTGAAGGGGCAGAGGATCAGCTTCATCCTGCGTGGCGGGGTCCGTGTCCTGGTGGCCCTGAGGGACGTGGACACAGGTGAGAGGCTGCTCACCCCTGAAGGGGTGGACGTGCGTCAAGCCCCTCGACACACGGCACTGCGGGACCTCCAGGCAGTGTGGCCCTCTGCTCCATCCACAGCGCCTCCTGGCCGGGCCTCGGCCTCAGTGAAGACCCCATCAGCCCCCAGATCTGAGGCCACCTGTCCTCCCCGAGGATCCCGCACGGGGTGCTCCTTCTAATCACACTGACCTCTGCGTCTCAGGGCACCTGCCCCACCCCCACCATGGCCCGTCCCTGCGAGCCACCGCTGTGTCCTTTCATCTCTGGGCAAGAATCTCTGCAGGAGTGCGGGGCCTTCTGTCTGAAAAGACCCTGTGCCCAGAGGGGGTCTGGCAGGTCTGCCCACACCTGCACAGAAGCAGACGGAGGGCCTGTCCACTCCCAGGAGGAAGGCCTTGCACCCGCAGGTCCACTGTCCCCATGTCACACTCGGCATCACCCGGGAGAGTGGCGGTCCCCCACGGCCACACGGAGAGCTCCTTGGCCCTCTGTCACTCACCCCCCTCCCCTCAGCCACACCAGAGGGAACTGGACTGGGGACCTAACACCTCTGTCCCTGCAGACATGTTTCCCAGGACTGTCCCCTCTGAGTGTCTTCCTGCTGTTGTAACAGAAACACCACAGTGGGGGGCATTCTAGAACAGACCTTTATTTTCTCACCGTTCAGGAGGCGGAAAGTCTGTATTCAGGGCGTGGCTTTGGGGGCAGGCTCTGACCTTGGCTGCTCTGTCTGTCTATGCTGCTCCTTACGTTATACGGGAGTGATCACGTCTAGGACTGGTCCTCCGGGAGCGTGACCTGATGAAGGCAAAACGCTATTCCTAAACAGGACCAGACCCGCAGGTCCAGGGTGTAGATTCCACACACATCTGGGGCACACAGTTCAATCTGCCCCACCCACTGACAGCTGCTTGGTTCACAGGCTCCCAGCGGCTGGGCAGTGGCGGTGGCTACTGGGCCGTGGTGGTCCTCTTTGTCGTGGGGCTGTTCGCCGTGGGAGCGTTCATCCTCTACAAGTTCAAAAGGCAAGGCTGCCCCGCTTCCCAGCCACTGGCACGGGTGCTTCCAGGGGGGCTTCCCAGAGGTGGTGGCTGGGAGGGTGGCTGAGAGAGTGTCCTGTGTCAGGCAGGTCCAGGAGGGCTTCCTGGAGGCAGTGGCTGGAGGGCGGTTTGAGAATGTTTGTCCTGTGTCAGGCGGGTCCAGGAGGGCCTCCTGGAGGCGGTGGCTGGGAGGACAGCTGTGTGTTTGCCCTGTGGCAGCTGCAGGTGTGGGGAGAACTCCTCTAGCTCCTCTTCCTGCTCTGCATGGCATGGCTGCGAGTCCCTGAGGCAGACAGCCAGCCTCTCGCAAACCCCCAAGCCTCTCCCACCCCATCTTCCATTTCCTTGAGGCATGCGGCCCACACCCCATTCAGCCCCACCCACCCTCCAAGGGAGGACATTGTCCCATTTTACAGACAGGGAGACCAGTCTCAGAGAGGGCAGGCACTGTGCTGGTGAGCCATGGAGCCGGGATCTGGCCCAGAGCTGTCCCCACCCCATGCTTCCTCAGCCCCTCCCCTCTTCCAGGCCCCAGGGGGTGCAGCTGGGGGTGTTGCTGGAGCACCCTGGGTGGGAGCGGGCGGGGCCGGTCTGAGGCCAGGAGAGCAGCAAGCAGACGTGTCCTCGGAGGGGGTCTCCCATGGTCCTCTTCACCACCAAGCCTGCTCGTCTGTAAAATGGGCATAATAGCCTCCTCTCGATGGGGTTGGGGGGCTGCCCCAGGGCTTGGGAATCTGAGGTCACCTGGATTCCCGGCTTGGGGGAGGAGCAAAATGACCAGGATCACCAGACCTGCCCCCTGCAAAACGCAGCTTTGAGACGTAACCCTGCTGTTCTCCCCCGTTCGCTGGTTGAGCTCAAGTGGCCCCCAAGGTCTCTTGGAGGACACAGTACATCCTCCTTCATACTTGTTAGGGGCAAGGGCCCCTCCACTCTGGGCCACGGAGGCCGACCCCCTCCGGCTGTCTCCCCAGCACTCTCTGTCCTTTGGGTGAGGATCTGTGCCGCCTCCCCCACCCTGCTCCAGGAACTGGGCTCAGCACTGATGAGGCGGGCTTAGCCCTGCCCTGAGGCTGTATCCAGGCTGGGGCTGCAGTCAGCAGCTCGGGCCTGCCCAATGTCCAGTTCCAACAGAAGGGGACACCTGAGATGCTCTGAGGGCATGTGACAGGGAGAGCTGAGCTAGTCAGAGAATCCAGGAGGGCTTCCTAGAGGAGGCGAGGTTTGAGTGGAGACCCTAAAGGATAAGTAGGAATTTTCTGGCCAAAGACGTCACAGCAGAGCCCAGGCTGGGCCTTCCTGATTTCCAAACTGGCAGATGGCTGGCTTCTCTACTTGCCCACCTGGGGGTCTTACAGGCACCTGGGATTCCAGTGGAGCTCAGCATCCTCACCCCAAGGGCCCCTCCTGAGTACAGGGCACGGCCGTCCCTCAGCCCGGGTGAACCTCCCTGATCCCCACAGCCACCTTGACGTACAATTTGTCACAGCCAGAAAGTGGCAGAGCTGCGTTGGGCCAGGCTCCCTTGCTACCCTGAGAACAGAAGCTGTTTAAAGGTGGTGTTGATGAGACCTCGGGGCCGTGACTCTCGTGCCCACTTGGCTCCGATTTGTTGGACTTGGGCAGAAGGTGCCCCCATCACTCACCAGGCCCCCCACCCGCTTCTCGTGCACAGCTGCGTCTTCAGATGCTGCGAGGCCCTTTGAGAGGCAGATCCCCGGTCCTTCCGCCTCCTGCCGGCCTCTTGGGTTTGCCTTCTGATGGGCGACTCTTATTGTCTGCCTGAGAGCTGCTGACGATTTTATTTCTGATTCGGGGCAGGGGTGGCAGCGACTTCCATTTCAAGGGGCCGTTCTCAGCCTCCAGGCTCTGTCTCTGTTTACACTAACCGACGCTTAGCAAGGAGAACCAAACAAAAACAAGAAGCCTGTTGCCGAGGGGTCGATTCTGACTCACAGCAACCCCACGGGACAGAGCAGAACTGCCCCACAGGGTTTCCAAGGCGCGGCTGGTGGATTCCAACTGCCGTCCTTCTGGTTAGCAGCCGAGCTCTTAACCACTGCGCCACCAGGGCTGCTTTCGCGAGGAGAGGGGGACAGTATTTGCCTAGAGACACACAAGCCAGCTCCCAGCGCCTCCCATAGGGGCCCCACCCATCCCTTCTCATTCTCCCGCCCCCCCAAATCTCCTGCCCGTCTTCACTGCTCGTTCTCCAACATTCAAATTCCGATTCTGTGGTTCCAGTTTGACGGTGCCTGGTGGAAACCTTTGCCAGAGCCTCACCTTCCCCACCTGTAAAAAGGGGTGGTCATTCTCCCAGGGACGCGAACAGGCGAACATGCTTGTCCTCGTCAGCGGCTCCTCTCTGCTGTACAAGTGTGTTTCAGCCTGGGGGTACGTGTGTTTGCACAGATGAAATGAGTCCTGTAGACAGCAGAGGCACCGCCAGCTTCGTGGTCAGACCAGCCTGGAATGCTAATTACGTAAAAGGCATAAAACTGCACTCAGCAGCAAGCACATCATAAAGAGGGCCCTGCAAGCAGTAATGATACCGGCTCCGCCGGCTCCGATTTGGCAGGCTGTGAAAGCCCCTCACAGAACCCACCTGGACACTCAGTGTGCCAGGAGCCCGGTGGTTTCCGCCTCAGGCCCAGCTCCAGGAGCAGCGAGACCCTTCAGGGGCGCTCTCCTACAGGCTAACACAGTGAGACCCCAGCCACCTCTCACCCTCTAGGTCCTTGCCCCTCAAGCACCGTTCACACTGGATTGCAAAGTCCCATCCAAACAAACCACAGGGCAGCCCAGCACAGTGACAGACTATGACGTCAGTCTCAAAGACCTGGGCCGTGGCTGACATCATGGAAAAAGGCAGAGTAGATGCCTCCAAGAGCCTGTCCCTCCACAGAAACATCAAAAAAAAAAAAAAGCAAAAACTGTCAATCAATATGTTCAGAACTCTGGAAAACAGTCAAAAGTTTCAAGCAACCAAGCAAATGCTGAATCATGAAGTTAACATAAGTACAGTGTTTAAGGAAATATCTGTCAGACTACTAGCGGACCATGAGCAAAAGGAACAGAGACTTCAGAGACCACACACAACAGAGAATGTCGTTGTTGTTAGGTGCTGTCAGGTCGGTTCCGACTCATAGTGACCCCATGTACAACAGAACGAAACCCTGCCCAGTCCTGCACCATCCTCGCAATTGTTGTTATGCTTGAGCCCATTGTTGCAGCCACTGTGTCACTCCATCTCCTTGAGGGTCTTCCTCTTTTTCATTGACCCTACCAAGCATGATGTCCTTCTCCAGGGACTGGTCCCTCCTGATAATACATCCAAAGTGTGTGAGATGAAGTCTCACCATCTTCGCTTCTAAGAAGCGTTCTGGTTGTACTTCTTCCAAGACAGATTTGTTCGTTCTTCCTGCAGTCCATGGTATATTCAATATTCTTCACCGACACCATAATTCAGAGGCATCTTCGGTCTTCCTTATTCATCGTCCAGCTTTGGTAAAGTAGAAGGTCAACAAAAACAAGGGGACCCCTCCATGAGATGGGTTAACACAGTGGCCACAACAGCGGGCTCAAAAATACCATCGATCATGAAGATGGTGCAGACCAGGCAACGTTTCTCTGTCCTCCGTACCGTTGCCATGAGTCAGGGCCGACGCGACAGCACCTGTCAACAGCCACATGGGCACTGCATCAAGTGCTTGCCGGGTGTCACCTCCGCGTGTTTGCTTTTGACCTTCTGAAGGCCTCCCAGCTCAGGCCCGGTGCGTGGAGGTGGGTCTGAGCGTGTCGGGTGGCTGGAGGAAGGACCCAAGTAAGGAACTTCCCCCGTCAGAGCCGGGTGGGAGACCCACAGCTGAGACGCTCAGGGATCAGGGCCTTGCTCCCCACCCCGCCCGCTTCTCCTTTCCCTTTGGAAATTCGCTGGTGTGAATGTTTGTTTGGGTTCAGTCCGAGTCTACTTGAGAGATCCGGGGTGGCAGGAATGTCCTCACTAGTGAGATGACTCTCTGCCTCCAGGGAGGAGAAGGCAGGGGTGTCCCGCCAAGGCCGTGAAGCTGGGGGAGGCCTGTCACAGGGACAGCATTACGTTTCCTCCACGTCCTTCGGGCCCCCCAAGGACAGATGATGGGTCCACATGTTGCCCCCAGATTATTGCTCACGGAGTAAGCGTTCAGCAGGGGCCTGCTCTGCCCCTCCCAGACTCGCAGCGGCCACACACAGGCCCACGTGCACATGACCAGGTGACCATGCTGCCCCCGCCTGGAGGGGACACAGACCCCTGCAGTCACCCTCACCACCAGAGCAGGTCACGTGGCGCAGCCCACCCCCAGGCCCGAGTGCTCATCCTGCCATCCAAGCACCCTAAGACCTGGTGGTCTGGGGACCAGCACCCGGGAAAGGTCCCCTCCCCACTGAGCCTCACCCCCTCCTCAGACAGAGGGGACAGGACCCATTCTGGGTTTGGATTGGGCTAAACCACATCCACTGCCGTCGAGTAAATTCCGACTTACAGTGACCCTGCAGGACAGAGTAGAGCTGCCCCATAGCGTTTCCAAGGAGCAGCTGGTGGATTCCACCTGCTGACATTCTGGTTAGCAGCTGAATGCTTAACCACTGCGCCACCAGGACTCTGGATTAGACTAAATGTGGAGGTGCCCAGGGTGGGGCTCCCAGGCCCGGCTGAGGTGAAGAGCTGGCCCCACCCCTGCCTCTGGCCTCAGGAGTGGGTGCAGGGAAGGTGCACAGCACCCTCTCCCAGTCAGGGTCTGCCCTGTCCCTGCCTCATGCCCCTGGTCCAGTTATCAGTGAGACAGGTCAGCAGACATGAGCACCCTGTGCAGGGCAGAGGGGGCACCCGAGGGGGGTTCCCAGAGGAGGTGGCTTTGAGCAGAGACTGAGTAGGAACTGAGACTCAGGGCTCTGGGGTCAGGGCCTCTGGAGCACCGTCTGTACCATGCACTGGGCAGTCGGGCCCAGCTGAGGGCCCAGGGGCAGGCGGCCTGGCCTGGGCTGAGCCCCACGTGTGCAGGGCCTCCCAGCCCCAGGGTGTACAGCCTGGACCTGGCTGAGAGGAGCCCCCACGTGTGCAGGGCCCCAGGGGAGGCGGCCTGGTCTGGGCTGAGCCCCGAGTGTGCAGGGCCCCACAACCCCAGGGTGTACAGCCTGGACCTGGCTGAGAGGAGCCCCAACCTGTGCCCTGCAGGAAACGCCCCGGGAGGACAGTGTATGCCCAGATGTACAACGAGAAGGAGCAGGAGATGACAAGCCCTGGGAGCCACAGCGAGGACGTCCAGAGCGCCATCCAGGGTGAGGAGCGTCAAGGATGCCCTGGCCTCCCACACAGGGCAAAGGCCACCTGCAAGCCCACCCCCTCCCACGGCCCCCAGGCTGCCCCGACCTGCTGGGCTTCTCGGGGTACAGTGTGGTGATGTGAGCCCCCAGGCTGCCCCGACCTGCTGGGCCTCTCGGGGTACAGAGTGGCGATGTGAGCCCCGGGGCTGCCCCGACCTGCTGGGCCTCTCAGGGTACAGTGTGATGATGTGAGCCCCCAGGCTGCCCTAACCTGCTGGGCCTCTCGGGGTACAGAGTGGCGATGTGAGCCCCCGGGCTGCCCAGAAGATGAAGTGAGGGACATGCACACTGCCGGTACCAGGCCTGCCTGCGAGTAAACGGCCCCATACCGCCCCACAGCGGTGGAGAAGGACAGACAGAGGGCCGGCTCCCACGAGGAAGCGCCCCCCTCCGTCTCAGGATGCTGGGGCCTTTCTCCACAGTCACTCCTTGTCTTAATTACCTACTGGGCTGTAACAGAGGAAACCCTGGTGGCACAGTGGGTAAGAGCTCGGCTGCTAACCTAAAGGTGGGCAGTTCGAATCCACCAGGCCCTCCTTGGAAACCCTATGGGGCAGTTCTGCTCTGTCCTGTAGGGTCACTGTGAGTTGGAATTGACTCGACGGCAATGGGCTCCAACAGAAATACCACACGTGGGGGGCTTTAACAAACAGAAATTTATTCTCTCACAGTTCAGGAGGCTAGAGGTCCAAATTCAGGGCACCAGCTCTAGGGGAAGGCTTTCTCTCTCTGTCGGCTCTGGGGGAAGGTCCTGGGGGATCTTCATGGGACGTCTGTCTTCCATCTCTGCTTGCTTCCTCGCCTGTTTAATCTCTACAGAGATTGGCCTAAAACACACCCTAAACTGATCCTGCCGCATTAGCATAACAAAGAAAACCCGTTCCCAAATGCGCTTACAACCACCAAAAAAAAACCAAACCCGTTGCCGTGGGTCAATTCCAACTCACAGCCACCATATAGCGCAGAGTAGAACTGCCCCACAGGGTCTCCAAGGAGCGCCTGGTGGATTTGAACTGCCAACCTTTGGTTAGCAGCTATAGCTCTTAACCACTGTACCACCAGGGTTTCCTATTATAACCACAGGTATACCAAAAGCAAACCAAACCACTGCCATCAAGTCGATTCCAACTCACAGCGATCCCATAGGGTTTCCAAGGCTGTAAATCTTTACGGAAGCAGATTGCCACATCTTTCTCCCACGGAGCGGCTGGTGGGTTCCAACTCAGACATTTTGGTTAGCAGCTGGCCACTTTAACCATAGGTATAGGGGTTAGGATTTACAACACATATTTTTAGGGGGACACAGTTCAATCCATAACACCCCTCGACCCTCCCAGGCCCTTCTGTTCACCAGGAGTGACAATTTTGTGAGCACCGTGCATTGGACACGACCACCTGCGCACGGCACTTTTGAGCGTGCAAAGCGTTTTCTTCATACGCCTCCTCTCCCTGCTGACCTCCCTCTGCTCCCCGGCCCGGCCGCACATGCGCGTGGCCCCCAGTCAGAACATCAAAACCCCGCGCAGCTCACAGGGCTGTGAATCCTGTGGAGATGCACATGAAGGACCTCAGAGACAGCTCACGGCGGTGACATTAATAGGTGCCGATTAAATGCACACAAGTTCCCACTGGCGAGATGGGCAGAAGCCATACAGCGGACCTTTTTCTTGCATATGGGGGGGAGGGGGCTCTGCCTGCCCCTCTGCCAGGTCTCGGGATGTTTACACGGCAGGATGGCTCCTCCCCTTCACCTGGGACCTCAGCTCAGGGTCGGTGTAACACCCCCCGGGGCACATGGCCTTGGGGAGTCTCCTGCCTTCTTCCAACCCCCCTCCTAAGCCCTCCTGTCCCGTTGTCCCTGAGATGCACAGATGTCCTTGTCAGCAGGGCCTGGGGCATACTCCTCAGGGTCAAGGCCACCACCGTGCACATGCCGGACACAGCTAGATGGGCCCAAAGGCAGCTCCACACCGGGCTCCTGGATGTGCGCTCGGCTGCTGACCCAGAGGTTGGTGGTTCAAACCCACTAGCTGCTCCTCAGAAGACCTGGCTATCTGCTTCCGTAAAGATTGCAGCCCAGAAAACCCTATGGGGCAGTTCTACCTTAGTAACACAAGTACCACAAGGCGGTGGCTGTTAAGAGCAGGAACTCATCGACTCGCAGTTTTGGAGGCTGGGAGTCGGAATCAGGCTCTGGGGAGGGGAGATCCCTCTTGTTTGTACCCCAAAGTGTACATGTATGTTTAACTTCAGGTCTAACCCACTGCCGTCCACTCAGTTCAGACTCACGGACAGGGTAGAACTGCCCGCTAGGTCTTTCTGGGCTGCAATCTTTATGGGGGCAGACTGCCACGTCTTTCTCCCACAGAGCAGCTGGTGGGTTTGAACCCCTGACCTTCCAGTGAGCAGCTGAGCGCTTAACCACTGTGCCACCAGGGCTCCTTTCTCTGCGTCTGATCTGCCGGTTCTATAGCTCAAAAGGGGTTGGTTTTAGGCCCCTCCCTGTGCTGGTATGACCACATTAACACAACAAGGACAACCCCTGTTTCCAAGCATCGTCACTCCACAGGTGCAGGGCTAGGGTGTCCCAACTTCTTTGGGGGAACACGATTCCATCCATAAAACAGTGACGGTCATTTACTGAGCTCTGGGCAGGCTCCAGGCCGGGGCTCGCCGACGTGACCTAATGAGTCCACATGACCCCTGGGATCGGGCGCTGGCATGGTGTCCATTTTACAGAGGAGAAGCCTGAGGTTCAGAGTGGTTACTCAGCCTCCCAGAACCACCCAGCTGATAGGAGGTGGAGCAGATTCAAACCCAGCTCTGAGGCGCCAAAGCCCGTGCGCTCCCCCAAAAGCCCCCAAAGACCCCCCTCGTGCGGCCTCTGTCACGCTGACACTCAAGTGCCTCCCTCTGCACAGGTCAGAAGGTGGCTGATATTGTCAGCCTTGGGGCACCGCGCCACCTCTGTACAGCCCAGCACCCCCTTCACATGGGTGTGCCAAAGCCCCGGCTCACAGAACTTCCTAAGTGGAGGAGGGCATGTGTGTCTCAGGAAGACATGAGCTGTCTGCCTCTGATGCTATGTGCCATCAAGAGCCCTCAGGAATAACAATGAACCCAAACCAAGCCCACGGTCATTGAGTCGACTCCGACTCGTGGACACCCACGTGTGTCAGAGTAGAAGTGTGCCCCACAGGCTTTTCAATGGCTGATTTTGGTGAAGTAAGGCTTTTCGGAAGTAGCTCGCCAGGCCTTTCTTCCCAGGCGCCTCTGGGTGAACTCAAATCTTCAACCTTTTGGTCAGCAGCCAAGCCAAGCACATTAACAATTTGCACCAGCCAGGGACTACAAGAATAATGACAGCATTCTAATGATAGTTGATTTCAACTGAGCACTTAGTACCCGCCAAGCACTGCCAGAATGCTTTCTCCGCGTGTCTCATGTAATCCCCACCACAGTCCCTGAAGGCAGGCACTGCCATGACGCCACGTTACAGGTGGCAAAACCAACGTTCAGCCGGGAGGGGCCTTGGTAAGCTCTTAGTCAGGCTCTCTAGAGAAAGAGAACCAGTGAGAAATATAGACAGAGAGAGAGAAATTTACTCCAAGGGGTTAGCCCCCACAATTATGGGGGCTGGCAAGTGCAAAATCGATAGGTCAGGAAACAGGCTGGAGACTCCTGCAGGCTCACAGGATTGTGGGGTGCTGGTGGGTCCCAAGATCCGTAGGTCAATTGACAGCAGAGTGAAGAGAGTGTTCTGCTGAAATATGTATTCATAGCCTGAAGGCAGAACACAGCCTAAGGAAACTTCCCGTTCAACTGATGATCGACCGTATTACATTAAGTTACGTTATGGAAGACAATTACATTACATTAGATTACCAAACCCAAAACCAAACCTGTTGCCGTTGAGTCGATTCTGACTCAGCGACCCTATAGGACAGAGTAGGACTGCCCCATAGGGTTTCCGAGGAGTGGCTGGTGGATTTGAACTGCTGACCTTTGGGTTAGCAGCTGAGCTCTTAACTACTGAAACACCAGGGCTCCTTGCATTAGATTACACTGTGGAAACGGACTACATTATAGCTTACATTGTGTTATGGAAGGTGATTAAATCACATTGCATTAGATTAAATTATGGAAAGTGATTACATCACAATTTATATTAGATTACATTATAGAAGATGAGCCTTACATTACATTACATTACATTATGGAGGGTGATTACATTGCATCGCATTAAGGAACAGCAACTAGTCTAGTGTTCAGCCAAACCACTGGTAGCCAGAGCCTCACCAAGCTGACACATGAAGTTCACCCTGGCAGCCGAGGTCTCACCAGCCATCAGGTGACCGTCTTGGGACTCAGGCTCAGAACGCTTCACCATTGATTGCCACTCTTCAGAGCTTTCGGTGACTTTCTTTGATGGGTGGACACTAGACCGAGGGGAGAAGAACGTCCAGGCAGCTCTCGGTCGGTTCAGCTCTGGCTCCCCGCACCTCTGTCTCCTCCTCTCTGCATAGCGCTGCCCCCACCCAGGGCCCCCCAACTAACCTCTCACCTCTTGTTATCACCTCCCTGGCCTCACCTCACCATGCCCTGCAGTGGCCACTGCCGGGAGTGGCCGCCACCTGAGCCCCTTGAGGGCCCCCTTGCTGCCAAAGCCAAGGTCGCCCCGGTGGCAGGTCAGTGGGGCAGTGGGTGGGGCTGGCTGCAGGCTCCCCTCGGGAGGTCCTCTGGGTCCACTGCTTGTGCCGGTACTGAGTGAACCCCACCCCTCAGCCACCACCCAGGAGACGGAGAGACTCCCACCCCCGCCCTGGTGCTGACCCCAGCCGCCCACTGCAGGAACGGTGGATGCTCACTGCACGCTGGCTGGACGGCGCCGGTGCACCACCACACGGCCCGCCCCTCCCTGTGCTGTCCGCCAGCGCGCTGATGGCGGTCTGTCTGTGTTCCAGGCAACCACTCGGGCGTGGTCCTCAGCATCAACTCCCGAGAGATGCACAGCTACCTGGTGAGCTGATGCTGCCGCAGACCCTTCCCGGACACTCCTCTCTGCTGTTTCCCTTCCCCGCGGAGGCCGCCGGACCACTGCCCAGCCGGCACTGGGCCAGGAGCGCGTCCCCTGGACCGGCCGGAAGCCACCTCCTCCAGTTGCCCCACACGAGGGCCGATGCTTCTTCTCTGTCCTGTTCACACTTCCCAACTCTTGGGAAGGGCACGGAGCTTCCAGCCCCGGATACCTGGACACTCCAGATACCCCAGACACCCCAACACTCTAACACCTGGACACTAAGAGCCCTGGACATCCCTATTCCCTGGACACATGGACACCTGACTCTGGGCCCTGTCTCTGCCCCCTGGCCCCATGGCAGCCCTCACCAACGCCAGCCAGCAGCCCTGACCCCACACAGCTGAGGCGGGGTCCACCCTGGGGACTGGGGTTAGTGGGCGCTCCAAGCTCCCGGGCACCACAGACCCCGTTCTGCTACTCCAGCCTCAGGGGGATGCTGGAATCCTTCCGGATGTTACTTTCCTCATCAAAAGCCCCCTGCTCCTGGAGAAGGCAGTTCCTGCCCCGCAGCTCTCCCTCTTTGGGGAAGGGGCTGTCCAGGCCCCCCAAGTCCTGATAGCCTATGCCCTGGGGGCCCTCTCAACACCACCCCAGATGCCCCCCCACCCCTCCTCTTTATAATCTGCAGATAATGTAAACACCTCTCTAGGTAGCTGGTCGGGGTTTGTTGGTTTTTGACTTTCTATTTGTAAGGCCAGGCTGCAGCCCTCGGGGTGGCCTTGTCTGAGCCCCTCCTTAGGGATTCCTTTCCAGAATGCCCAGGGCTTCCTTCTCTGCAGCCTTTCCCGGCGCAGCCCCTCCCGGGGGACAGAGGGCAGAAGCCCCCCGACGGGTTTCCCCAGAGGGCTGCTGTGCTGCACGTCACACTGTGGCCAGCAGGCGGCGCCCTCCACCGACCTTTTCTTCAGGGGGAAGGCGGCTCCACTGCGGGCGCTCAGAGGCACTGTGTCCTGCGCTTCCTTACAGCTTTGGGGCCAGCGTGGAGCCAAACCAGGAGAGGTTTAGGGTGTCAGAGCTGGTAGAGCTGTCAGAGACCACACCCCTCGTTTTGAAGGTGGGGAAACCGAGGCCCAGAGAGGGTGACTCTCCTGAGGTCACACAGAGATGGGCACAGAGGGGGCACAGGACACCCCTGCTCCCGCCCAGCACCCTCCTCTGACCCCACCCTCCCTGGAATCAGGGACGCTAGTGTGACTCGATCCAGAGACATACACTGTTGTTGGGTGCCGTGTACGGACCTCGGTAGAGGGGGGCTCTCACCTTTTGCCTTGAAAAGGGAGGTAGTCCCCTCTGCCCCACTCTCCTCTCCTCTCCTCCTCCCTCCTCCTCCTCCTTCCTCCTCCTCCTTCGTCATCCCCCTCCCCCCAGGCTGGGCCCTAGTGGTCCATAGCCTCTCTCAGAGGCAGGGGTCACCCAGCCTGTGAACTGCTGGACGATGGTGTGTCCAGGATGCAGGCTCAGACGTTGTCCTGTGCACCACGTTGGGGCTTCGGGGGGAGTGACCCACTTCCCTAGTAAGGAGCCCTGTGTTAGAGCGAGGAAGCCCCAGGGCAGGCGGGCCCCACACCGGGGCAGGTCCCCACACCAGGGGGCACTCGGTATCGGATCCACATCTCAGTGCCCTCCTGCTGCAGACCGGACGCCAGGCGGGAGGAAGGAGGGAGGCGGGTCCCCACACCCCTCTTGGCTCCTTGCCTCCCCGGTGGGGATCCTGGACCACCCCTCTGAGGTCACCTTGCAAGCTGCCCTCTGCTCTTGGGGAAGGGCTGGGCGGGGGTCTGCGAGTGGGGAGCTGGACAGGCCGGCACCAGGAAGAGGCTGTGATTATCCGGGACCTTCGCGATAGCCCCCACCCGCCTACTCGGGGCCTCCAAAGGCCCTCAGCAGAGCCCACCGTCCCCCAGCCACCCACCTGCCCATGAGCGTCAGGCACATGGGCAGACACAGCACAGTCCAGGTCTGAGGTCGGCATAGAATGTTCTAGAAACCCCCCCACCCCTTAGCTCACCAGTGCCTCTGGGTGGGTAACCAATTCAGGTCTTTGACTTCCTGGCCACTCAATTCTTTCAGCTACGTGGTAGGCTTTTCCCTTAGTGATCTGTGTTTTTCTGGTATTTTATGTTATCATTGCGATTAAGAGCATTTTGGGGGGTAGACCCAAGACCCTGGGATGACAGTGGTACCTGATATAACCTTAGACTTGTCCATCCCTATAACTGGTCCACACTTAGGCCGTGGGTGTATCTGACTATAAATATGAGGTTCTCTATATTTGATGTACAGGTATATATAGGCACCTGGGGACGGGGGGCCTGCTGCCCAGACGCCTGGCGTCCCGTTCTACCAGGTGGCGCGCACACTTGTTATCTGCACATAACAAAGATGCAATGCAGTCTTTCTTATTTTTCCTTTTTAAAATCAATAAATCATTTGTGATGCTTTTAACAACGACTACATGGATCTGGTCGGCTTCTACCTTATCACGAAGACAGTTTCCTACGTTTTCCTTGAAGTACGCACGAGAACAGCCCCCTGCATGCTGGCATCAGGGACCCAAAGTCCATGTGGCCGGGGTCCTGTCGGAGGGGGCAGCTCCTGACCACTGGGAGAGGCTGCAAATGACATTCAGCTTTGTGGTCACTGGGCTGAGAACAGGCCACCTGCAAAGTACAGTGTCACCCCGCCAGCTTTGCAGACACTGACATAGGCATTGGCTGACCTCCTCCTCGGAAGGCCGGCCAGTTGACCGGGGGACGGGCAGAGGCCCAGAGAGTCCAGGGCCTGGGAGCAGAAGAGCCAGGGCTCGGCATGGCCCCCTGCCCAGCAGGATTTCTTCACTTCTGAAGTGCCAGTTTGTGTTATTTTTGCATGGCCTGAGGACAAACAGGCTTATTCACCCGGCAGATGCGCTGGCTTCAAACGTACGTTCACTGTCATGGTGGCCAAGGGCGGAAGACCTGTCTGAAATCCCAGCGGTGATACCTTGTAAGGGTGCTTTGCCCTTTTTCTCTCTTTCTGTGAGAGTCCACAGGCAGGGGGAGAGACGCCGGCATGGACTCGCTCCGGAGATGCTCACACGTTTGCCGAGCCATCCCCAGCCACGGGTCCAGGGCCAGGTCAGGTTGGGGCTGCGCGGTGGGCTCCCGAGGAGTAAAACAGAGAAAACAGAGCCCCCAAAGGAGGGACCAAGGAGCACGGCATCGCAATGAGGTTCTTCCTGCAAGAAGGCTGTTTCCCGCCCGCGGCTGCCCTCACGTGTAAGGAACTTGCATGTGGATGAGTTTCAAGCGCTTCAGTAAAAAGGAAGCGGTGTTCTTTCCACAGCATGGAGTGGTGACCGTTCTATTTCTGGCTTCTCACTGTGTGTGTGAGAGGCTCATCGGTGCCAGCAGGACCCCGGGGACTCCCTCCACGTGACGGGCACGCCATGTCCACGGGAGGCTGGGGGGAGAGGAGCAAGCAGAGTGAGGGAGGTGGGGTACATTCAACACACACACCACTCACACACACCCTTACACGCCACACACACAGATATACACACGACACCACACACACATACAGATACCATACACACCACATATGCACACTTACACACCACATACACACACATCATCACACACACCCTTACACACCACACACACAAATATATACACATAGGTACAGACACCATGCACATATACACATATACACACAAGTACAGATACCACACACACCATGTACACACACAGCAACAACACACACACACCCTTACACACCACACATGGATATACACCCATGTACACATACACCACACACAAACACACACCAACACACGTCCTTACCACACACATACAGATATACACACATACACACACAACACACACCAACACACACACATACACACTAACACACATACCTTTACACACCACACATTTACACAACCAACACACATACACACCACACCACACATACATATACACATGCACACATGCATGAACAAACACATACACATATACACACACGCCCCATACACATACACACCACACCACACACATATATACACACACCATACACAAACATGCACATACACACACTTGCTAACACACTACACACGCTCACACATATATACACCACACACATATGCACATCACACACACCTGCTCACTGCACATACACAGACACCACCCCATCCCAGCCCCACACACATACATACACGTATGCACACATACACACACTGCTCACACATACACACACCACCTCCATGGTATACATATGCACACATGCAACGCACACACAGCACATGCACACTATGCATGCACACATACACACACACATACACACACTGCTCTTACACATACACACACCACTCCCACAGTACACATAAGCACACACATACACAGCACACACACATACACAGCACACACACATACCCACAGCACACACACACCATACATGCACATGTACACACACACACATACACACACTGCTCTCACACATACACACACCACCCCCACAATACACATATGCACACACACAGCACACACACACATACACAGCACACACATATACACACACAATGTGTGCACACACACACACACGTATACACACCTCCTCTGTACCATGATATGTTCATTGAGTAAAAACAGTAGTTTCCAGTATCGATGGCCTCAGAGACGTCCCACCACATCTCGGGCCCCTCTGAACGTGTGCCAGGCCCTGGGCTGGGTGGGGGCTGCAGCAGTGAAGGAAAGAGACAAAGCCCCTCTACCTGAGAAAAACCCCAGGCTGGTGGGGGACAGACAGGGACACAATGGCTAGTGAATTCAACCAGGGAGGCATGGGGCCAGGGGGTGAACCACGGTCCCACCGTCATGGGGAGGGCTGCCAGAGTCTGTGGGAGCCACGCCTGCTGGTGGGGGACTGACAGGAGGTATGCGTGAGGCTGGGGCAACAGTGGGGGCCGTCAGCGG